TACTATACTATACTATTACTATACTATACTATACTATACTATTACTATACTAAATTTAATATATATTACTATACTATTACAATATGCTATTACTATACTATATTGTACTATATTATACCAATACTATGCTATGCTATCACTATACTAATATATTATACTACATTATATATAATGAATATATAGCATCGGATCATATGCCAACATTTTGAAAACAGAACGAAACATCAATTTCAAATAATTGGTTAAATGTGAATTTTTCTTAGCGAAATGTCCATGGTACTGTTCATATAAAGACAAAGAAAAAAATGAAGAAATTAACTGAGAAGTGGAGAAAAAAGCAGAAGAGAAATTATGCTATCTTATTAGTTAAGGACAATATGAAATTATTCAATTAAAGTTAGTTGAAATTACCACATTGATTTCATCTTCAACAGTCATTTTTTCGTGTTTTCTTCGTTGAAAATATTTCTGGTGTACTGAAAAAATTTTTTCCAACTTTCAACTAAAAGTAGGGAAAAAGATTAGCAGATGAAATACATTAAATATCGAGAATTCAAAGTTTTCATTGCATTTTATGATTTGTTCAAATTTTTTCTGTCCTTTACCAACAACAGAACTAGCAAATGAGATATTAGAAACGATAGCATAATTTTAATTTAGCAATTAAAACAAATGAATAATATTCGGAATTGATTGTTACTATAAGTTACTATTATAAAAACCATTTATATAAAGTGAAAATGAAGAATGAAATTTTTAGTTTTACGATGAATTTTTATTTTAGCGCTTATTTTGAAGTTTGCAAGAGATCATCCTGTTTAGTGATCTAATTTTCTTTCTCTTTTTTGATTTTATTTAATGACAAATGAGTGTTACTTTTTACACTCTTTGCGCATAATAAATATTATCTTATTGTTTCCTTTAAAATGGAATTGTAATATAACGAGTACAATGCATTAATTTTTTTTTTTCATTTGGAAATGGAATTAGCATAATTGTGTAAATTCATATAAATTAAAAAAAATCATTTTCGAAATAATAACATTGAGGAATTGTCAAAATTTATTCGTGTTATTAATTTTTTTTACATACTTTTTAGAGAATGAAACTTAAAAAAGTTCATCAAATGAAATTAATCCTTTCTTTCTTTGTAAAGAGGGAAAAATATTTCGTGCATTTTTTTGTCACATCCAACATGTGCACTGCCAAAATTTATGTGTTATTAATTTTTGTTAGATACTTTTTAAGGAATAAAAGCTAAAAACAATGAATTGGAGCAAATATTTGTGTAGCTGCAAAAATAATAAATTGAATTATAGAAAACAAAAAAAAAATATTTGAACAGCTCGTGAAAAGTAAACGATGAGTTGCATGCAGTGATTAAGTAAATAAAAACTATATAAAAAGTAATCGGTAAGGATAAAATTTCAATTAACAATTTGTTATTTATTTTACATCGCTGAGTGATATTTTCTGTTATCAAATATATTTCCAAAGTAAGCAGGATGAAGTCTATCGTAAAATTCAACACAATTTTACTTTTCATCGTATTTCTCGGAATTACTGTTGGTATGTTTAATAAAGATTTCATTGCATATTATATTCTTCGAGGTTATAAATTACAAATATCTTGAAAATGTAGTATTTGATCGTAATTAAGAAATTTTGATATTTGATTTAATTTTAGAAAGTAATGATTCAGTTAAATTATTGCAGCTGTGAAAAGTTTGCAATGCCCTGGAAGTAAACTACCATCAGGACAACGTAGACGTATCGTTCGCCAACATAATGTATTCCGTTCACGATTAATTCATGGATTGCTTGTAAATAGCGAAGGCAAACGTATGCCACGTGGAAAGAATATGCTCCGATTGGTAAAGATGTATTTAAAAACTGTTAAAACAATGAATTTGTTTTTATTTCTTCTTTCAAATTGTAATAGCTATCAGTTTAATTAATATTAGCAGCGGTATTAGTCTTTATTTATTAACTTATCAATTATTTAGAGATGGAGTTGTAAGCTAGAAAAATCAGCACAGCAATGGGCAGATCGGTGTATTACACAACACTCACCACAAGCTATGCGAAGAGAAGTCGGCGAGAATATTTACTGGTCAACAGGCGCTGAAAGTAAATTTAAATATATTTATGCTACGTAAGGTTAACGAACTTATCCAATATAGTCATATCATTAGTGTGTATAAAAATTTGATAAATGAAATATCGAGAATCAAAAAATTAATAATAGTATAATTAACAATAATAATAACAATTAAAATAATAACAATAATAATTAATAATAATAATAATAATAAATATAAAATAAATATAATAATAACAACGATAATAATAAAGGTCAGACGATATTTTACCGAAAAATGGACAAACAAAATCCCGTTTTCAGGTCGTAAACTTACTGTTGGTACTGATGCCGGCAGAAGCTGGTGGTCAGAACTTGCGGAATTGTACGTGGATAATCCAGCGAATACTTTGACTCGGAATGTTACCCGTCGAGCTGTTTTACATTTCACGCAAGTAAGAAAATTATTGTAGAAATGAGAATGACTGAATTATATCCTTTCTGAATTTTTTTCAAAATGTCTGTTAACAACTAATTTTTTCTATGACTAAATGATGCGTAAAAAATTATAATTTTATGTAAAATAAGTTAACAAAATTTCAAAAGCATTCAACAACATTTTTATTTTTATTTCTCGTAAGAAATAAGCGAACTTCTATTGTAAGACTGTTTTATTTAAGAAATTTAATGGATTTCGGTCGATTAAAAACTTAAAGAACAATATTTTTCAGCTACGATGTCTGCTTAGCTTCAAACAATTCTAGAAATTTAATCCACGCACGAGAGATAAAACTGCATAAATAGAGATGGATTTTTATAAATTTTAATTATAAATGTTTGTTTTTAGATGGCTTGGGGAAAAACATATGAAATTGGTTGCGGTGTTGCTCTAAATTGCGAAAATGGCCGTAAACTAATATTCGTTTGCCAATATAACCCTGTGTTAGCTTTAATATTATTGTCAATGGTATTTTGTATCATCGAATTATGTTTCAACAAAATATATATCCATTTTAGACAATTCTTTTTTGATTCTTAACGTTCAGTAATCAAAATTTCAGTGGAAATTGGATAGGTGATTTGATATATGAACTTGGCGAACCGTGTAAAAACAACGAAGACTGTGATACTAATAAATGTATAAGAAGATCTGGATTGTGTAAAATGACGAATGTCCGAAATTAATTCACAATAAAAATTATCAAAATAAACATGGGAATTATTTCTCAATAAAAATTTATGATTTTATTCCGAACTGAAATAATTTACATTCCGAAAACAAAAATTGCGAAAACAATTACAAAAATATATATGATTTCATTCCTTATAAGATTACAATCATATTTACAAAATTACAAAATGTTTACCAAGAAAATTAGCAGATTTTTATCGTATGATTATCGTGCTTATGTCAAAAATTATTATTCATTGTAATCTTTGATGCTTAACTGGATATATAAGCTATCTTTCGGTATTGAAAACAATCAGTTCAATTCAGATATCAACATCTCTATCGTTATCCTATCGTATTCTCCTTCTTGCTATCAATCATCAACATATATCTAACAACCAATCATTTTATCCTCATAATATGGTATACATCAATAAACTGTACGTTATGCTGGCATTAAAAAATATATGTCAACATCTCTATTGTTCACTACTGTTAAATGCATGATAATTACAGTCATATAACAAACGCACACACACACACCCACACACAGCAGTACACCCACACACAGCAGTACA